TATCTATCTATCTATCTATCTATCTATCTATCTATCTATCTATCTATTCATCTATATCTTCCAGCCTGGCTATATTATGTTAAGTCATCTGCTGAAAGCAGCTTCTTTATTAACCAATAAAAGCAACACATATACAGAAGGACTTCCCACACCATTTCCCCTTTTCTGTTTAAACAAAAAGGAAGGCTTTAACATAGTAAAATTATATATAACAAAACAGTTATCAAGCAAGAATTACAGTTACAATATTTATATCTACTTTATCTTTTATCATAACTAAGGAAAACTATAATTATAACTATCTATTCTTCAACTCCATCAAAGACTCCAGAAAGATATAATATTACCTAAGTAAACAGGACATGAAGTGCATTGTAAGCAACTTCCAAAATTCTAGTATTGACAGAGACATCTCGCTGCCTGGACAGTCACCCAAAGTTCTTCTGTACTGTTGGGGCATGCATCTTCAGCCTACTGATCTATTGTATCTGGCAGACTTTTCCATGAATCAGGAAATTTCAAGGACAGTTCCACCTATATTGGCAGTTTGTGTCCTGCAGGATGTCTGGCAGACTCTTTCATGAAGCAGGAATCCCCAAAGAACTGTCTTACCTTCTTTAGGCAGCTTCAGCAGTCATTTTTCTGTGGGTCCTGCAAGTCCAGTCAAGCAGTTCAGGCAAGAGCAGTTTCTTGCCCAAATGGCTAACAAACTCCATGAGGAGCCTCTTTGATGCCCTTCATTCTCTTGAAGTAGATTGGTGCTGCCAGAAGCAGATATGTCTCAGTGTCATGAAAAGTCCTAAGTTCTTAAAACATTTTAAATGTCATATTATGTAGTCTTTGAAAGATCTGAAGAAGAAAGATCTATTTATCTGAAATATATCTCTGTACATCTAGAAAACCTAGCTAACATGACTACAAGCTTGACTATTATAGATGACTCTCTATTAACCTATATTTATTAATTATACATTATATTTTTAAATGAGCTGCACAAACACAATACCTTAATTAAAAGCAGTGTGTATGTATGTGTATATATATATATATATATAAAACAAAATTAATTTTAAATTTGTATCAGTAAACCAAGATCCATACCAATACAAATCTCTACAGCATAGCCCCATTTAAATGTAAACAAACTTTTATAAACAATATTTGGGAATTTGGGTGTAGTTCTCTCCAAACTGCTTCCTGCTTTTTGTTGGATGAAATAATTTTGGTGGGTATTCACGGCAACCTTTCAGGGGCTCTTGGTCCATCAAATCGCATTAGTCTGGAAGGAATCCTCGGGTTCTCATCCTCTGTGAAACAAAAGAACCCCCTTTCCAAAGCAACAAATCCTTAGATCCAAATTTTGAAGTCAAGATATCTTTAAAATATATCTTGGTTTAGCTTAGCAGCCCATACAATGAAATTGTATGTACTTAACTCTCTGTACTTAACTGTACTCTCTGTACTTAGCTCCTTCACAGTCAAAAAATTCAAAGAAAACACAATAATATACATAATCCAGACTCTCTGTATGTTTTCTATCTTTACGAGGCTAATTTGCCTTACTCTATTACTTTTTTTTACAAATTTAATATTTATTTTATTATCTTTATTCCTTTAATCTATGACTTTCTGTACTTTTTTATATTATAACTTGTCTGTACTTCCCCCCCTCAATCCTATGTACATTTATCCAATATTGTGACCCAGTTAGAGGTCTTTTTTTAATCTGAATTTGTCTTTATTGCATGTCTGTAATAATCTTCTGACCAGGAGCACTTTTAAAATGGTAAGCAGCTTGGTCACAGCGGCCCTGGATGCTGGCTCCACCTCTCCCAGGCTTTCAATATGGTAGAGGTAGTTCACTGTCTGCTCTGGAACTGCTGAGTGGGACCACCTCAACTCTGGGCATGCAGTACATAAACCCTTTTTATCTGAGTAAAAGCTAAATCTGCCATATAGTGCACTGCACGGCTTGGAAATATCTCTGTGTATGGTGGCTAGAATGTGCCATGCTCCTGATTCAGCCGCCTGCCCAGGTGTGGAAGGCTGAGCCGTAGGCATGGTCTGAGCAACTTTCTCCCGACCCTGAGTGGGTACAAAAGCATCTGGACCCAAAGTGGGTGGCAGGCATCAGCCCCAAACGTTTCAGACAATGTTGTTGCACCAATCTGTAGGTGGAGCCTGTTCATTTGTTCCTGTCCGCTTAGACCCAAAATAATCACACAGAAACTGTATTATTTGCAATACTGTTTGGCCAATAGCTTAAGTGTATTTCTAGCTAATTCTTATACCTAAACTAACCCGTCTCCATTACTCTGTGCATCACCACGAGGTCTTGGCTGACCAGCAAAGTTTCTGTGGGCTCCTGTGGAGGCACCTGTATCCTGTGGTGGCTACATGGCTTCTCCCCGACTCTGCCTACTCTCTCTATATATATCTTTTCCAGCCTGGCTATATTCTGTTGAGTCATTGGCCGAAAGCAGCTCCTTTATTAACCAATAAAAGCAATACATATATATATATATATATATATATATATA